TATAGAACACCAGACAGGCAGGACCAGAAAAGAAACTCTCCACAGCACATCATAGTAAAAACACTACACGTACAAAACAAAGAGACAATACTGAGAGCTGCAAAAGAGACACAACAAGTCACATATAAAGGAAAACCCATTAGGATTACAGCTGACTTTTCGGTGCAAACTATGAAAGCCAGAAGAGCCTGGACCAAAGTATTCCCAGTTCTAAATGGCCACAGATGCCAACCCAGATTACTTTACCCACCCAAAATGTCTATTATAGTTGAAGGGGAAAGAAAAATCTTCCATGACATAAACAGGCTGAAAGAATTCATGTCCACAAAACCAGCCCTTCAGGGAGTTCTGGAAGCAATAGAAAGAGCTGAAGAAAGGAGCTACTATACACAAGGGGTTATAGAAAGAAATTCAATGAAGATGTAAATGTGGAAATGCACATGAAGAATGTGAACAGAAATAAGAATGACAGGATTCAATATACATCTTTCATTAATAGCTTTAAATATTAATGGACTGAACTCCCCAGTCAAAAGATACAGACTAGTTGACTGGATTAAGAAACACAACCCATCTTTTTGTTGTCTGCAAGGAACTTTCATGTAGTTTTAAATCATCTGCTATACTGGGAAGACTGACAAGGAAGCATAATACAGATTTAGGGGCTCCATACCTTGGGGTCTCCCTATGTATCACATCCTCTACCCAGATCCAAGGTAAGAAACTTGATTTACCACTGGGAACTCTGTAACTGCTATGTTAGATGGGTTCTCTAGAGGAATATGGGGGATGGGGGTAATTAGATTGGTTTACTATGATTGGGGCTGAATAGTCCAACAACCATCTGCTCTGGAGAGGAAGAAAACCAGGTTCCTAATTCAGAGAACAGGATGCCACAGCAGCACCCATCCAATTCAGAAAGCCTGGACATTCCCTGGAATGTCGCTAGTATTGAATCCACATTGGAAGGCCTACGAAGCTGCAGTCTGATGTCAGCAGATGATCATCTTAGAGATAGACACGCTTGGAAAGTAGCCAAAGCAGAACACCTAATTCATATGGGTTTATTTGAGGCCAGTGTAGAGTTCAAGTGGTGAAACCCCAACTTAGCAAATCTAATTTCAAACTTGACACTCACTTCTAAAATTACCACAGTAAAAAGGAACCGGTATTCATTGCAAACGGCTGAGCTATGATCCAATGTTCTTTCCAAAATGTTTGCATTTTGCAGTTGTAATTACATGGATATCTGCTTCCAGTCATTTTAGATGTGTGTGTGTGTGTGTGTGTGCGTGTGTGTGTGTGTATACACACACCTGTATATATGAATCAGCACAGTTTTCAAAGTAACAGCAGCAAATATATATGACATGGTTCAGCAGTGAAGGGCACTTGCTACTGTTGCAGAGGACCCTGGTTCAATTCCCAGCATCCATTCCTGCTGTCAGGAGGAATCCTTGTTATCTAGGAATTAGCAAGACCCGAGAGGAGCAGTGCCCTTCTGATTAGCAAGGTCCCAGAAACTAAAGCATAAGTTATAGATGCAAAAAAAAAATAAAAAATGAGTTTAATGCATACTTTAATGAAGTCATTCAATTGCAGAGAGCTATGGGGTCCCAATAGGGACTCAGCAGTCTTACAGATTCAAGACTGAAATAGAAGTTCTCCATCTAGCCATCTTTCTCAGTAACTCAGGAAATTTTCTAGACTGTACTCTCCTGCTCCCACACCTAGGTCAACTGAACACCTTCAATCACAAAGAATTTTTTAAAAACTATCTCAGGGACTCTTTCACACATTCAAAGCCGAGAACCACGGACCCAGGGAATTTGCTACAAATGAAAATTTTCTGTGCTAGGGAGATGGCTCAGTGGTAAAGTTCTCTTCAAGCAGAGGACCTGAATTTGGATCCCCAGAACTCATGCAAACACCTGGCACAGTGGTTCAAGCCTGTAATCTCAACATTGGGAAGCAGAAACAGGAGGATCCCTGGGGTTTTCTGTCCAGTCTCGACAATCAGTGAGCTCCAGGTTGAGTGGAAAACTCTGTCTCAAAACTAAGGTGGAGAGTGATAGAAGAAAATAGCCAATGTCAACCTCTGGCCTCCACATACACATGTATAGACACACATACACTCACACACATGCATCCACATACACACATGTATGTACCACACAGAGATGGGTAACATAAATAAATGCTGATTTTCATGGCCCTCTGCAATTGCTGAAATCTGGAGGATTCTTGAGGCCAACTGCAAGACCACACTAGTCCAGGGAAATAAGCATCTATTGGGCCCCAGCATCTTCCCACACTTTTCTCACCTGGTGATCCCAATCAGAACTCCAAGGCAATGACCTGGCAGAGCACATTCATAGTGTTTGGTCCACACGAGATCCAGCTGTTCTAGGCAGGAGTTGTGGGAGACTCTTGGAGCATACTCTGGTAACCCTATCGTGTCTCACTGATTTGCTTGCAAGTACTGTCAGCTCACTAACCTGAAAGAGGACAAGGTATTAAGGTCAAGTAGGGCACACAACACACAGTCACTGCTGTGGTGGCGGGAGAACTCTGCCGCGGCTGCAGGAGAAGGTGACAACCCAGGGGCCTTTTGAGAGCCCATCAAGCCAGGAGTAGCCTGTTGAGTCAAGAGCAGCTGGCACAGAAGAGAGGCAGTGCTGCGCTGCTTCGCCCATTCTATGGCTCGTGACTTAAGAACTCTTCGAGTATTTTCAAATTGCCAATTTTCATATTCAGAGAGGGCTGGAGATGTGGCAGAGCTGAGAGGCTTTATGAAGAAATGACTGAAAGCAAGTTGAGTACTGATAGAGGAGAACTGGAGTGCCTATGGGGGTTTTCCCTACTGAAAAGTGAGAATTAGCACAGACTGCAAGAGAGTGGAAGGAAACAAGTCTGCGAGTGGCTCTTCCCCAATGATGAGAAGTTGATTCTGGCTAGATAGGCATGGTGGTGCACACCTATAACCCTAATCCCAGCACTCAGGAGGCAGGAGGATCAGAGCCTCAAGGCCATCCTCCTTTCTCCACTACTGCTGTGGTTTCAATGTGAAATGTGCCCCACAGGCTCGTGTTTCACTACCTAGTACCCCAGCTGCTGGTGCTGTTTTGGAGGGTTGTGGAATCTTAAGACACAGAGCCTTGCTGGAGGAAGGGGATCACCAGAGCAGGCCAGTTTTATAGCCCAACCCCATTTCCTCTCATGCCTCTGTTTGCTAACCAAGGCAACAGTGTGGCCAGCTGCCCAATGCTCTGCAGCCCTGCCTTCGGGCCATGACAGACTATGTTCCCTAAAACCGTAAGCTAAAATAAATCCTTCCTCTGCTTAGTTGCTTGTTGTTAGGTATTTGGTCACAGAAACAAGAAAAGTAACAAATATGTAAAAAGTCCACAAAAAGAATATAAATTAACTTGACTTGCTTTCTCTGGTTTATCACCCATTCACCCCACACAGGTGGCATACCTCCCCACAGTGTGCATTATCACCTGCCACATGCTGGTGAAGGCTGAGAAAAGTGGCCACGGCTGAAACCACCTTTTATTCCTAGCACTGACCCCTCTATCTCCCTCATACCAGGTACCACATCTGCGTGACCATACTGATCTACTTCCTCCCCCTGCTGGTAATCGGCTATGCCTACACTGTGGTGGGAATCACTTTGTGGGCCAGCGAGATCCCTGGGGACTCCTCGGACCGTTACCACGAGCAAGTCTCTGCCAAACGCAAGGTGAGCAAAGGGCAGGCAGGCCTAGGTTGCCCAGGCACTAGTAGCAGGCTGGCAAGCAGGACAGAGGGCCTGCAGGTTCCAGAGACGGTGGGGGCAAAATACCCCAGGGCCTCAGAAACAAAAGAGGGGCTGGGCCTTTGTTCACACTCACATATACACATATATGACACACTCATATACACACACATATATATAGTCATACGTATGTACAAACTCTGATATATGCAATCATGAACATACACGAAAACACTCATATCCATGTACACATACACATACACACTCATGCACATATACACAAATACATTCATCTATATACACACATTGATACATGTATACACATATATTCATACACATATAGACACATATACACACATCTGTGACACATACATACATACATTCATATGTGTGCACATATACACACTCATAAATATACACACATACAATTTATACTCATACACACATTCATACACACGCACACACGCAAACACTCCCGCATACATGCATGCACATACATACTCATACACAATCACACATCCATACACCCACATACATACTTATACTCAAACACTCATACACATTTATACATATATGCTCACTCACACACGTACACATACAAACATTTATACATTCTCACACTCATTTACATGCATGAGAATCTTAGTCCACTTGAACTGTTATAATAAAGCACCTTTGCCTAGGAATTTATAAACAAGAGAAATTTACTCTCCCTAGTTCCAGAGGCCTGGGAATCCAAGATCAGGGCAGATCCACCATCTGGTGAGGCTACTTACTCACACGGTGGGAGTGCGGCCAGGGAGCTCCCAGGCCTCCTTTATAAGAACTTTGATCCATAAGGCTTTACACTTGATATCTAATTGTTTCCCAAAGGCCCTATGTCCTAACCATCACACTAGGGTTAGGATTCCTCACATAATGGGGTGTGGGGTGATACAAACCTCAGACCACAACTCCCAGTCTCCCATGACCTTACAGGGAGACCCTGTCTCGAAAAGACCAAAAAAAAAAAAATCCTCTTTCAGCACTGGATATGCCCCTGTAGCAACATTCCAAACTGCTCCCCTCTCCTTCCATCTCCTCCAGTCTCCAGACCAGGCACCTGCCCCAGCTCTCTCCCCAGGGCCTTCTGCTCCTCTCCAGGGCCTTCTTTCCTGAGCTCCCTTCACCTCTGCTCACCAGCTGTCTCCTTTGGTTTCTTCAGTCACTGAAGAGCAGAGTCACACAGCACAGTGGTCACCAAATGTGACAACATGTCAGATCCTCTGAAGGGGTTCCCAGTCCATTATGATTCCGGACACCTGGTTTGGGTCCAGGAATCCATAACTCTCACAAGTCCTCTGAGGATGGCAATGATGCCAGTCGTGGGCCACTCTGAGAACTGTAACCAAAGTCCTTAAGCTCCTATGCCAAAGGTCTTTCCACCTCCTTGGAAGGTGATATTATAAACACCTCCCTCCCTGCCCACATTATACAGTGAGGGGTGGGAAGAGAGAGAAAGCCCCCCTCCACAGGAGGATGTGCTGATGGGTCACCTACCTTGCCCTCTCCACAGGTGGTCAAAATGATGATTGTGGTGGTGTGCACCTTCGCCATCTGCTGGCTGCCCTTCCACATCTTTTTCCTCCTACCCTACATCAAGCCAGATCTCTACGTGAAGAAGTTCATCCAACAGGTCTACTTGGCCATCATGTGGCTGGCCATGAGCTCCACTATGTACAATCCCATCATCTACTGCTGCCTCAATGACAGGTGAGGACCACACACCCACACACCCATGCCACAAGCCACAACACCTAATGGGGTGTGAGACAAGAGGGAGCAGTGTAGACTGCAGCAAGCGAACTGCACACCACACTACCATGTTGATCAGGGCAAGAGTGTGAACCCAGGATGGGCTGATTTTCTTTTCTTTTCAAAAGGAACCAGAAGTTTTTATTTTTGTGTGTAATCTGATTTTTTTCCTTTTTTGTGTAAGCATGTGTGGTGTGTACAAACTTGTATGTGTTTGGGAGGTGCTGATGTATGCAGTTAGACACCAAGGGAGGACATCAGGTGTCCTGCTCTTATCATTCTCCACCTTATTACCTTATGACAGGGTCTCACTGAACCTAGAGCTAGGCTAACAGCCAGTAAGCCCCAACCATCCTCCTGTCTCCAGGCCCCCCAACCCCCTGCCAACTGTACCTGTACTGGGGTTACAGGTACCTGTACAACCAACCACACCTGCTTTTTATGTGGGTTCTGGGATTTTAACCCAGGCCCTCATGTTTGTGCAGCAAGCGCTCTTACCTGCTGATCAATCTCCCCAACACCTGATCTGACTTTTAAAAGCTGGAGACTACATTGGTGGAGGTGAAGGTGTGGAATTAAAAAGCTTTGTGACTGATGCACGTAGACAGGCCTGCATACTGGATCCTCTTCCCGTGCCACTGCGTCATCAGGGCAGCTTCCTCGGGCTCAACCTGCATTTCCAGTAGCACAGGGAAAGCAGACGTGGGTAAGGGCATCCTAGGGCCCAGTTCCTGTCCTTACCTGGTCAGACAGGCTAAGCCCTTCCCCAACAGAAGTCGGCCTCAGACAAGTCAGAGAAGGGAGATTCCTGGGGACTGGCTGCAGCAATAAGGAAGTCCTTGTGGCAGGCAGACAGCAGGAGGGGACTGGGACACTGCAGCAAAACTATCACCCAGAGGCGCACCCAACTTCTCTGTGGGGAAGGAGGCCAAGGTGAAGGGGAGACACAAAATGCCTGTTGCTTCTTTTCTGTCACCCCTCACCAGCTGGAAAGACCCTGAGACACTTCAGGTATGGGAAAGATACCCACTTGAACTTGCTCCAGTGGTCTCTAGTAATCTCATTTCTTTTCTGTCACCCCTCACCAGCTGGAAAGACCCTGAGACACTTCAGTACTGTATGTATGGGAAAGATACCCACTTGAACTTGCTCCAGTGGTCTCTAGTAATCTCACAGTTCCATCCTCCCAAGGGCTTAATGACCTGTCTCACATGTTTTAGGTTAAATATCCCAGCACATGTGTGAGTGAAAATGACTCTCCCTGTTTAACAAGTAGGACAACAGAGGCACCCTGCTAAAACATGACTGGCCGCCAAAGGTTTAATCTTGATGTCTCCCTTACTGGCTGCTACCTCAGTAGACACTCACAGTAAACACCTGCAGTGAGAGCTGGTTTTGGTTGATGTGGAATTGATCAGGTCTTCTAATTCCCACACATGAAGAAGCAACCTGATTCTGGGATGCCCTAGAGCCCTCGAGAAACACTCATGCATATCATGAAGCTGGGTTCTAGGCCAAGATTTCACCTTGACAACTGACCTTGAGGGGTTTTGTTTTGTTTTGTTTTGTTGTTTTTGTTTTGACCTCAGCATTGCCAGATGTAAATGAATTTTCGTAGGTTGGTGTTGAGGAGGGAGACTACTGGGGACAAGCAGTCCCCCGGGCTCACCTCTGCATCTGATTTCTCTCCAGGTTCCGTCTGGGCTTCAAGCATGCCTTCCGTTGCTGCCCCTTCATCAGCGCTGGTGACTATGAGGGGCTTGAAATGAAATCCACCCGGTACCTCCAGACGCAGGGTAGCGTGTACAAGGTCAGCCGCCTGGAGACCACTGTCTCCACAGTGGTAGGAGCCCATGAGGAGGAGCTGGAAGAAGGCCCCAAGGCCATACCCTTATCCCTGGACCTGACCTCCAATGGCTCTTCTCGAAGCAACTCGAAGACCATGACAGAGAGCTTCAGCTTCCACTCTAACACGCTGGCCTAGGCAGTGCTGCGCCTTTTGCAGGTGTGGCTATCAATACTTTTGTCCCAATTCCTTCATGTGTGGCTATATGTTTGATCTGTAATCCATCTGAAATACCCTAACACTGAAGCTTTTGGAAGCGGTTAGGATGGTTTAGGGAGAACATTCCATGCTAAATTCAGTCTGGATTCTTTCCTGTCTTTGCCACCTCTCCCCTGTGCTGTGTGACCCAAGGCACAACAGTGAGCTTCCTTAAATTGAGATGGCCAGACTCAGTTTCCCCTGCAGCTCATTCCACAGTTCCTGAAATGACTTCAACTGCATGCTGGGGCTCATTTCAGAAGGTATTCGCAGAGCAGTAAGGGACCCAGCAGACCTGGGTGCTGCAGCCTCTGTCTTTGTTCAATAAAGTCATTCTCCACCATGCTTAGACCAGCTCACACTGCTCCAGCCTTCACAGTGTGAGCAAAAGAAGGTGCCACATAAAATCCCAGTGGAAGCTCTATCCCTACCTTTAAGCACACATGAAAAGAACACACATCCGCCTCTTTGTAACATCTCAGTATTGCAGTTCATTTAAACATCATGAGACTGACAGCCTCTGAGTCTTCTGTAATGTCCCCAGGAACCATCCTGAGCAACCAACGCTGGTGGAAGCTGTCTACTGAGACCAGCTGATATGTATCCTCCCGACCAAGAATCGGAAGATCTGTACCGAGAGTAACCTACCTGAGCCTCTCTCCTTGTAAGGCAATAGGGCTGAACTAAATATTCTTAATGTCTCTTTGAATCTTAGTGTTCCTTGCTTCCAGAACTGTGCAAGTTTTGCTTGTCTCTCACACACAAAAAAAGCAGTCTAAAAAAATAACAAAAGCGGTGATACCCAGCTCCTAAACAGACGTGTAAATGTTCTCCTATTAACCCTAAAACCTTAGCACTTTCCTTCTCCCAGAAGGTTCTGGTATTTGACAGAGCAGAGGACTTAATGGGAAATCATGAATCTCTCCAGCAGACTGTAGCAGGCTGAATTCCACCTCTGAGAACAGCATCAGGAAAGACATGCTCATGGGCTTCCTGCTCCAGCTGTTCAGAATATTCCAAGGACCCTAGTCCAGATTCCTAACTTTTGGCTAGCATATAGCATGAAGAAGCTGCAGCCAAACTTCTGGAAAGGAGCAACTTGCATCTTCTCTCCAGACTCTAAATCTCCCCCTCCTTCCCCCCTCTTTTGCTGGTCTCCTGTCTGCAAGGAGTAGAATGATCTACAAATCCTAAAAAAGCAGTCAGTTGGCCAAGAACCAAGAACTGAATGCTTTGTGTCCTGATATAGCTTCAGGGTCTCCAGAAGGTGAGTGTACTATTTCTGCCTCCCAGATGTGTGCTTTGCCCAGATGTGGCTGGAAGCCAAATCTTCCTCTGACATCCTTGACTGTCCTTATGGTTTGGGTAACTAGATGCACATGAGCTCCAGTCATCTATCAGGGAGAACAGTGCCACCCATGGCATGGGGTTTACAGCCTCTGCCAACCTTGTTGACTCTAACCCCACAAAGGTATTACCACTCCTGGAGGAGTTGTATAGCAAGAGTATAAGCCAGAAAAACCTGAGAAAGCAACATGGAAAATATTCAGTAAACTCAGTAAATCCCCCATCAGTGGAAATCTGTGAGTGAAAAACACATGTAGCAACAACAAAAGTCAGCACCCGAGTCACTGGTCATGCTTCCAGTTGGGAACCTTGCCAAGCACAGCTATAAAGTGACATGATTATTAAAAGTATCCAAGAAGAAAGCACTGGGGACATCCCATTCACAGAAGAGAAGATTATGCAGAAAGGATTTCTTGAGCACCTGCTTTGGACTTAATGCTGAGCTGGGGACACACAGCCGCTTCCACCCAGAGGAGCGTCATGCCTCCCATTCCTAACGCACCAGCCCAGGTGAAGCAAGAACCGATCAGGCAAGGAGGCACTGACAAGCAGCAGATTCTTCCCAGGGCTTTAAAAAAAGGTGCTTTTGACAGGAAGAAATCAAGCCAAAGGCTGGGGCCTTCAGAAAGCCTCTGCAGTGATAGTCCTCCAAAGGAAACCACCAGTCAGCCTAAAGGACTTAGATGAGCAGTGTCAACCCATGTATCAACCCATGTATAATATTAGAGACTATGAAATGGTCCTGGGCAGCTTGGATATGGCAAAGCATCCCTCAGGGGGACTAGCAAGCCTCCTATCACTCCTTTCTCCAAAGTCCATTTGACTTATAGAAATGCCATCAACTCCTGTGTGTGAGGAACACTGTGATTTGTGTTGTGCATGGGTCTCATTCGTATTGAAATGTGTCACCCCATGTTTATCTCCTAAGTGTATTACCTTGATATACCATCCAGTAGTGATAGACTGGGACACGTCCTGGGGCCATCCTTGTTACATTACCTCCAAACTGTGGGATCCAGTTCCATTGGTGTGCACTGCATTGCACCAATCTCCTCCTACCATCATTCCTCCTTGGGGTAGAGCCCCAAGTGTATCACATACTCAATGTACTTGAGGGGTGAGGAGTGGACCTTTATAGGAGGAATTAAAGAGCAAGGTCTTTATCTTCCTTAACCCCTCATCAGAATGCTAAGACAAAGGACTCCATGGAATCCTAGGAAAGGAGGACTCAGGAGCTGGCCTCGTTGGGTTGATTTTAGGGGAGAAATGTCAATGAAGAAGGGTCACTTCTGAGTCTTGTTTCAACCTGGGATTCTGGAAAGAATCTCTATACAGAAATAAAGTGTGGTTTTGAATGTCTTATGCCTTTGTCTCTTCTCTAGGGAATAGGAACACCATTGGGGGGCTGAGTGGGATGGTGTTGGCAAACCTTACAACATACACAGCCAGAAGGGTGGAACCCAGTATCTAGTAAAGTCTATGATGATGTGGATCAGATGGGTGGGCAAGATCTGGGAAGTGTTTCTAGGCTGAAAAGCTGAGGTGGGATTGTATAACACATCAACAATGTCACCTGTGAATACAGTAGTTTCAGTTCACACTGTCCAAGAAGCAGACACCAAAGGCAGTTAGAAGTACAAGAGATGGCAGACGATGTGAGAAGAAGGAGAGCAAAGCTAGAATATGCAGGGGAAGCATGAAAAGACTGCAGACCACTGTATGAATGTGACATCTGGGAGAGAGGGGTAGGAAGCGCAGCCCAAAAGAGTGTAGAGGCTGCTCAAGGGAAACTGCACATTTGTATCAGCAGAAATGGATGGACCAGCACCCGGCAATGCTCAGCCACTGGCTGGACTTCCTTGGGGGAGAGGTGTCTTCACTTGAATGCCGTGATGGTTCCCAAAGTGTTACAGCTGGGAGGGGTGTCTGCACCCCTTCTCCATTCTTTCCCAAAGAAGAGCTGTGTCATGTAGTTGCACAGTTGGCACTATATAGCTTTGCTCCAGGCCTCTGACTTTGCAAACACATAAGGAAACCCTTAGATTGAAAACATTTGTAGTAATCACTGTGAGCACTGGCAACCTGCCTCCCACAGCTGGGCCACCTGAGCCTCTTCACATAGGGAGTGCCATCAAGAGGACCATGAAAAACTGTAGACAGCAATGACAAACACATTATAAAGGCATCGAGAGAAGGGGTGAGAAAATATAGTCAGCTATCCAAGGTGTTCCTACTTAAATTAAGAGATCTTAAATAATAGTCCTGGAATAAGCTTCAAGGAATCCACAAGTCCCCATCAAAACCACATGTAAAATTGTGTGTATGTGTGTGTGTATGTGAGATTTTGAGTAATAAGGTATACAATTACACCTGAATCTCCTGCAAAGCAATAATTAATCCTATGCTGTCCACTAAGAGGAGAGACTGAATTGTTTCCAGAAGAGTGGTGAGGAGCCTGAGGCCTTCCAACACACAAGAGGTAGATGAGCCCTGGGAGAACCAGCCTAGCTGCCAGGAAACAAGAATCAATGGAATAAGAATCAGTGGAATAAGCAAAAGCTCTAGACTAAAACACCAAGTTCATGATGAAGGGGTGTGCTCACTCTCCCCCATGAAAAGATGAATATATCCCTTACACAAAGAAGGATGATGCCTTAGTGCCCCGGCCAGTAGGGCGGGAGATGGAGACTCGAACTCCCAGGGACCTGAAATGATGGGACAAGAGACACGAAGAATGACAGCAAGACAAAGAACTCTGATCAAGCTGACAAAGTTTATTTTTCCATGGGGATTCTTATACAGGCTGAAGCGGGAAGTTAGCTGGGGAAGAGGGAAGGAAGGTGTTGTTTCAACGGGTTAATGAATGTCCCTTAGGATGAGGGGACCTGGCGCCACGGTCTGGTTGCAGGCTAAGGAAATTGGTGTTGTTCAGGCTTATCTTGAGTCATCGGAAAGGTTGCTTATCTTAGGGGGCAGGGAGGACTGATCAGCAAGTTCTCCGGAGGATGCTTGCCTTGGGGGCCAGGGAGGGCTGCCAGGCAGCATGGTCTCCCACATCTCCCCCTTTTCTGTTTATAAGTAAAAGCCATGAGAATTAATAAGTAGGAGCCATGAGAATTATAACCCCTAGGGAGTTGCGCCTGTCTTAGGTTGGAATGATCATCCCCAGTTTACACACCCGTCATGGGATTAGACAGCAGCTCAGGCGGCCCTCCTGTCTTAGGTGGGTTTTTGGGGGGAGTCACTCTCATACCAGTCATTGACTGTCCAACTCAGCTCTCAGGGGGTGCGACTGAAAGCGTCGGCATAACATATCATTTCATCATGGGCTCCATCTTGCAGGTCCAGGCATTGATAATGTACCTGTATAGGCTTTGCTAATAGGGCATCTACTTGATTTTTCATCAGAGCAACAATTTTGTTGAAAAGATAGGGCCCCAGAGACAACACCAGGAGGAGAAAAATTACTGGTCCAAGAAGAGGGAGGAGGTAAGGGGCCCAGGAAGAGGCAGAGAACGAGAACCAGATGTTTTGTTGTTCTCGTTCCTTTTTTCATTTTTTAAGCCCCTCTAGGACTTTTTTCATGCCTTCTTTAACCTCTCCTGTTTTACTAACATAAAAACAGCATTCCTCCTTGAGGGCAGCACATAGCCTTCCTCGTTGTAGGAAAAGTAAATCAAGTCCCCACCTATTTTGGAGGACTACTTCAGAGAGGGAATCAAGGGAATTAGCAAGATCAGTTATTCCCTTTTGGAGATCTCTGATGTCCTTGTCAATGGTGGCACAGAGCTCTGAGTATCTGGAATTAGAAAGAACATAAGAGGTGATGCCTGTCC